AATTAATAGAATAGGAAATAAATACAAAATATTATAATATATAATTATATATTAATAATCCACCATATAAACTCAAATAATATTATGTTACAGGGTCGTATTGTTAGTGAAATAGGAAATAAATTTCTATAAGATGCCATTGGAATAGAAAATAAAGGTGAAAAATCCTAGAAGGATTATGAAGGCAATAGTTAAAGAAAAAGTTATACCTTTTAGCTTTTCATTATTGGTTACCACCGTCCTTGGTTCCATGGAATACATATTCTCTTTTAAACTTTGCTTCCTTTGCTTTTAATCATTATTTTTGAGATAAAAATGTATTCCAGATTGTTATGTTTATTCGTAACTGTCCCCCAATTGTTGGTCAGGCAACGCCCAAGGTGAGGTGCATAATTGTGGATGCTTTCTGTTTTTGAAATTTTTTTTTTATATAAAAAGAACAATTAAATAATGGAAAAGATTATATCTTAAGATTCCAATTCAATCTCTTGATATTGGAACAATGTGTCTTTTGGCTTTTGACAAATAAATTCAACATATATATGTGAGGTTAATTTCACATGAAAATATATTCAGGAAGATGACTTTTGGCCGCCGATGGCAGAATGGCGCAGCTTTGATGTAAAGCACACTCATCTTTTAGTTACTTGGATTATTATTCATATGCATTTTTAAAATTGTTTGGTTGAATCACGAGGGAATCCACTCGTTGCATAGGCAAAAGGATCTTTGTTGGCAGCCTCCTTCAAGAGGCAACCACCAATATCTTGATTATACTTAAAAACTTAATATAAGATTTTATCTTTTTCTTAAAAATTATTAGTTTAAATCTCCATTATTTTACGGTTCAACCATAGACTCTAAAATTTTCGATCCAACTATACAGCCTATGGTATAGACCTACTATTAGAGGGCACTTAAATATTGGGACCCCTCTGTAGTTAAAAATTAATATTTTATAATTTAAACTATTATGGACTATAAAATATTTTTTTATTAATTTAGCTATAGGTAATATTTATCTATTTATAATACTTAAAAAAAATATTATACAATTTAAATTATATTAAACTATACAATAATAATTATTAAATATTAAGGGTTGAACATTTTAATATTAAGGGTTGTTATTTCATCTAATGATTTATATATTTTATAGTATAATATAATCCAAATTATAAAATAACGTTCTCATATTTAGATTATAAAAAAGGATATCAACAATCTGATATTCGTTATCAATTATTAATACTTTTTACAACATTTTTTCTTTTCTTTTTTGATAAAATGTGAAATCTTATTTAGCAATTACAATCGAAGCAGCAAATGTGCTGCTACAGTCAATAAAAAACAAGGAAAAAAAAAAATAACTGTTGAGATAATCAACTTCTCACAATTTTCTCAAGCCCCCATTGTTGTGCAATAACTTGAGACATGGAGGATGGTCTCCCGCAAGCAAACCCAAAATCTTCTGCCTAACTTGGTAAAGAAGGTGGGATTAATGCATTGGTAGGTCATCATCCTTTCAAAATTCATGACTAAGGTTTCAGAACTCAAGGTGAATGGAATCATGTTCCAGACCCTCCTAATATCTGCTTCCTAAACTCACCATTTTTTTTAAAGCTCACTTGGCATGATAACATCTTCTACCATTCTTTTCTGATCCTATATTTACCCTGTAGATTTGAATGTATTGTCTCATTTTTGTACAGAAATCTGAGAAGAAAAAATTTCTTTTTTCTTCACAGATTTTATTTTATTAGATAAACCATTTTGTGAAACTCTGTCCCCTCCTGTAGGGATACATCAGAGTTTCTCAGTTTGAGTTAGAAACAACATATTGAATATAATGGTCCATGATCAATCACTCTTTGTTTTCAAAGAACGGCAAAACAGTAGCAATCATCAAAGCTATCATGATGATCGCTGTGACTGACAGGCGCTCAGCATATGAGAAACAGCATCCAAATGTCACATGAATAATGTGAAGTTATTATTGACTCCACTACCCCACCCTTCCTGTTTTAATTTACTTTTGTGGCTTGTGCCCCACTGGAAATGCTGTTAGTTTTGTATTGAATACACAAGACTGAATATAGCATCCAAAAACTTAACATATGTAATGAAAAGACAAGTCTCAAGGGAAAATATGGTTTCACATGCATAATCAAGAAAATAGTATAAGCATGTAATGCATACCTTCCTGGCTTCAGGTGCTCTCCAGTGGTACCGCATATTAAGCATTTCCCCAAATTAAGCACAAGTGTCACGATGATGACTAATATGATTATGACAGGTATAGTGTCTTTTGAAACTCGTCCCCATATTAACTGGCAATGATTAGTATGTGTCACCTCTCTTTCTGTTGCTTTCCTCTTCTACCTTTGGCCCAGCCAAATCATCTTTCTTCTCAAGCCAGCTAAAGCCTGGCACTTTCTGGATTCTCTTCTCCTTCATTATCTTCCTTAGATTCTCAACCTCTTCCCATTCACCATCAGCAGCAAAAATATTTGATAGGGTAACAAAACCTCCTGGTTTTCTTAATTCCATTTTCAGAATTTTTTCACCCATCAATTTAGCCATATCTTTTCTACCATGGATCTTACATCCATGGAAGAAGGCACAGGCAATTGACTCAGTAACTTCAAATGGCATCTCTTTTATTAATTCATAAGCTTCTTCCATCCTTCCTGCTCGGCATAACATATCAATTATGCAAGCATAATGTTCTTCAATCCCGTAACTTTTTTCCATGGACCTAAATATCTTTAAACCTTTCTCAACAGAACCACTGTGACTGCATGCAGACAGAACAGAAGTTAAGGTCAAACCACTAGCCTGTATTCCCTCTTCCTGCATCCTTTCAAACAGCATTATTGCGGAATCAATCATGCCATGTTTCCCATAGCATCCAATCAAGGCATTCCATGATGCAGAAGTCTTGATGGGCATCTTTTCAAACACATTCTCAGCATCTTTCACACTGCCACATTTTGAGTACATGTCAATAAGAGCACTAGCAATAAACACGTTCTTATAAAGCGCCACCCTATATATATAACCATGAATCTCTATACCTTTTTGAATTGATCCAGTCAATCCACAAGCTGGAAGCAATCCTGTTATGGTAACCTGATCTGGTTTAATCCCACACATCAATATGTCTTGAAACCACTTGAATGCTTCAACAGGTTGCTGCCCTTGAGCAAAACCTGAAATAATAGCATTCCATGTAATCAAATCAGGAACCAAACCTTCTCCAACCATTCTATCAAAAAGAGCAACTGCACCACTGATGTCTCCCACCCTAGCATAGCCTGATATCAACGCATTCCATGTGAAGTCATTAGGGCACAATCCTTCCAATTTCATTCTCTGGAACAGATCAAATGCTATATCCACCTTTCCCATATTGCAGGACCCACATATCATCGATGTCCAGGAAGCAATATCTCTTTCAACCATTCTATCAAACACCTTACGAGCATAGCATAAGTGCCCGCATTTACCATACATGTCAATCAGGGGATTACCTACTTCACTCTCAAGCCCCATCATTTTAACAAAGGCATGGACTTCCTTCCCCTTCTACAAATCCATCAACCCAACACAAACTTTCAACAAAACGGAAAACGTGAATTTATTACAAAAATTCATCGACTCCCGCATTACAGAGAAGTACCCTATTGCTTCTTCAAAGTACCCATTAAATGCAGAGGCCAAAACCATCCAATTCACAGCAAAAGCATTCGGCTTTTGAATCCTTTCGAAGATAAACGAGCAGAACCCAAATCCCCACAACTCGCATACATGCCAACGAGCTTTGCGTTCAACGATAATAGTTTCATATCAGCTCCGGTAGCCAGTGACCAAGCATGGACTTGCTTGCCAGGTTTCAAGGCTTTTGCTTTTAGGCATTTCTGCAACAAGAGAGCAATGTGATCTAGAGAGAAGCTTTGCGATGGCAAAGCTGGGAGTTTCATTATCAGAGACGATGTTCTGTGGATGGCCAATGTAATCACACAGCGAAACGAAAGGTCTTTTCTTTTCTCAATTCTTTCCTTGAAGAAAAACCCTAGAAAAAATATTGAAAGTTAAAACGTATTCGCTGATGAATTCTATTTCTTTTGAAATATAGAAGGTTGAAAGAGAGGAAATTCAAAATCCAGTACCTTGGCATACATTTGAACCTAGGCAGTTGGTATCTGGGTGAAATCTGCAATTCCAAACAATATGGGTCTTTGACTCTTTGCTAAAGTTGACTGATTTTAACCGGGGTTGATCATAACCGAGGATGATACCATCCTTCAGTTCTGGAATCAGGGTAACAGGTAAGTATGTTCTCTGAATCATGCAATTACAGAATCAACCCAGAAATGGAAATTCACTTGCATAAAATAATTCAAACCTGCAGCATTTCTACAGGTTCTAATTGTGTGAACTGAACTTGTGAACCCATTTGTTTTGTCTAATATGATAATGACTCAATTACAAGATGTCCATACATTAGAAAGGCAGACCATAGGAAAGTCAGCTGCTCCCATTATTCAGATTTTGCTGGAAAGGAACTTAAATTTCTGGGACTTTTTGGCTATCAAACTGGATCCTTACTCATGTCATATTGAATATGAGAATTTGGGGAAGGAACTGATCTTCCAATGTTCTCTGTTATTATTTGTACATAGTTTGCCTAGAAAAGGAAGAAGGTTGTTCATTTATTTATAGATTTGCAGTAAATTCTGTTGCATTGCATGTTTCACATTCATAAGTATCCAGTAGGTAGAGATCACCCTAGAAAATACAAATCTGTCAAATAAGATTAACTACCAACTGTTCTTCTATATTATCTGATTGTGATGCCTATTTAGACTTGAATTGAACTGATGAATTAGGATTCAATGGGGGGAGAGGAACTTCAATAGCTCCTTCTAGCATCTGTGAGGCTCTCTTCATAGTGGGCCTTAAAGACAGATCATCTTGGATGCACCAAATGGCAATCATCACAAACTTCTCTACCATCTTAATGTCCTGAATTGCCTCTTCATCCTCCTGAACTAGCAAATGCAATGTCCTTTCTTCATGGCAATCATACGCCCAATCAGCCAATATCATTTGATTTTCATTGTCTGCATCTTGCTCAAAATTCTTCCTGTGGCAAATGTGTTCTAGCAACAGAATTCCAAAGCTGTAAACGTCAGTCTTGACTGTGATTGACATGTTTTTAAACCATTCTGTGGCAACTTATCCTTTGGTTCCCCTGATTGTAGCAACAGTTCAAGTCTGGTTTGTCTTCAAATGTTTTGCTAATCTGAAGTCAGAAATTCTTGCCGTAAAGCAGTCATCTATCGGATATTTTGAGGCTTGATGTCACAGTGTATGATCTGATTGCTGCACTCTCCATCAAATAACCAATCCCTCTTGCAGTCCCAAAAGCAATTTGAGTTCTTTTATACCAATTGGGCCTTGAATTTCCAAAAAGAAAAGTGGCTAAAGATCCATTGCTCATATATTCATAAACCAACAGCCTGTGCTGTCCCTCATTGCAAAATCCTAGCAGCTGTACTAGATTTTTGTGATTTGTCTTACCAATGGCACTCATTTCTGCTTGAAATTCCTTCTCACCTTCTGTCACCATCTTGTCCAATCATTTAACAGTGATGAAGTTCTTATTATCAATATCTAAAACTCCTTTATAAACTGTTGAACAAGCACCTTTTCCCAGTTCTTCTTTGAAGTTATTTGTAGCTTCCTCAAAGCTCCTTGTAAGTGAAGCTTTGTAAACTCAGGCCTTGTATTGTATAAGGCTGAAGCATCCTTCTTTTCCTTGAGTTTAAGCATGAAACAACCCAAAGAATAGTAACCAGCAGAACAAGGTTAAAATGCTGAGCTACTTAAGATCAGAGTTCCAAAAAGAATCTCAGTTGACTGAGGCTTCTTGTTTGAACCCTCACCAGCCGACGTGTTTGTAGGGTTGTTTTTCCTTATTTTGACTAGCGCCTTCCCTCCAACAGTACTATCAAACAAGCTGTTTGAGAGTGGAATTTTCTTGAACCAACCGTTACTGTTTCAAAGATTGCTACTAAACAAAAGCAGTCAGTCAAGCACACCTGTCTGCACCAATCCTCAGTAACTGATTGAAAACATTCATAATCTGAGTCAGGCCAAGCTGTGTTGGGCATATCCTTAAAATAGAAAAGATCTGCATCTTGGCCTCCATCACACTCTTGTGAGATAAAATCCTGCTTGCATCCATTCATGTCATCATCTGGATCCAAGAATGAGTATCCAGGTGGGCACATGCATTTAGGTCTCTGATCATTTGCTAGAATATTGTAGCTGTTGAACCCACAAGCCCCACCACCTGTGGCTTGTCTGATGCTTGTGCAAATATCCTGTGGTATACAGTAAATCAAGGACCAGGCCATAGGCCTTCTGGCACTGACGCTATAGTTTTTTGGATAGACATATTGCCTGAAGACCCCATCATATTCAAGGATTGCACGCTGGTAGAAGTTACCAGTTGATGCTCCAGTTACTGCTATAAAGCTGATTATGCTTCCATTTTTAGCTTCTAGGTAGATGTAGCCAGACTGGTTAAAGATAGCCTGAAAGTCACCTCCAGCAGTATTAGTTGACTCTTAAGCAGTATTTGCTGAGTCCAGTGGAAAATTTGTTGCAGAGAGTACAAGATTTCCATTTGATAGTAACTGCATCATAAATCTTCCACCTGAGTAATTCATTTCTGAATAACAAGCAAAAAGGCTGCTGCCCACGTTTAATGTTTGTGTGGGTAATATTGTGTCAGTTGGATGATCAAAACTTTCCCACAAGTTGGTGGAGTCCTGGCGTGGCAGCACAAAGTTTCCAGTGTCAAGCATAGCTGCATAAGAAATATTACCAGTGCCATATAAGTTAACCATCCATACCTCTTGTCCTTTTGGGTCATTGAGTACGAACTGGCTATCTGTTGTCAGTTGAATTTTTGATTCTTCTAGCACTAAATTTCCACAATTGGCTGACCAAACAATATTTTTTTCAGGTACTTTGTCAAACCACGTGGCCAGTAAAAAACATTCCAGTTTCAATCTGTTGGAAGCCAAATGCAAACTCATCAGATGCAGACGTCCAGGAAGAGTTAGTGTTGAGCACTGCAGTTAATGACGAGCCTAGTGTTATATTTTGAGCTATGATAGAAATTGACAACAGGCATGGTAGCATGAGGTAGAGAAAATGAGGAGAAATGGAAGCCATTAATTCAGGTGCTAATTTTTTTGAAGGTTAAACATGGATTGTGGAAGCTTTCAACCTTCATATGAATAAATAGACTTCCATTGAACTTTAAGAATCTTCTCCCCCTAGTTGTGCTTCAGAATCTTCAACCTGCAGGTAACCAGTCCGTTTCTGTTCTACCTCATAAAACTCTGTATGACTTCTTATCATTGACTGTAATTTTCATGATCTTATGTATGACATATGAGCATCGGTAATTCATGTAAGCATTCTAGTAATTGGATATCTGTTGTTTAATCATTAGTATTTTAATTAACAGCTAGTTTCAATGTATATTTGCTGAAGTAATCAAATTCTTGATAAGTAACTTCTAATAAATTAACATAAAGTTGAAATAAATTTATGTAACATCCCATAATTAAGAAGAATGAACTTCCAAGGCTTATATATTTGGACCATTAATAAGTATTTGCCAATTAATATATTTCAATATCGTTGTAGCTTTCTATGTTATATCATGTTATATTAAAAATTTTAGGTTTCTCCTGCACATGGAGTAGGTTGGCATTTTATTCTTTATACAACATGAACTTTCACATATGAGATATAATTTGAATGAAAAAAAAAAAAGAAAAAAAAGAAAAGGTTTGAGAGAGTAGACGAGGAGGGGGGGTGATCTTGTTAGTTAGTGAAGAAAATAGAGTTGTGTTATTTGGAATATACATGTGTTAGCCAAAAGAAAAAGTGTTATTTGGAATATAATATATAATAAATAGTGACGTGATAAAAAGACAAGGGAGTTGCTCCTCGTATAAAATTAGAATTTAATAGATTTTGGCAAACTCTGCATAACTACTTGAAGAATATATGGAGATGCTGTAAAAACAGAAAATTATTCTGAATTTCCTGTCATTATAGTGTTTGTTGGGGGGAGGGGGTGGAGAGGGTGAGGGGTTTGGGTGGGTTTGAACCTGATGTTTTCTTATAAGAGCATTTAGTAAAACTTGTACATTTGACTTGTTCAAAGTTGCCTTACTGCAGTTACTTCGAAGAACACCAAAAGATAAATATATATAAATATATATATATTTAATCTTAGATAATAGTTATTTCACTGGAAGATGTCTTGGAATTAGTTTTGAACTTTCCATCGTAAAAAACCTTGTCAATCCCACGAGTTAGCAGATAATTGTTTGTCATCCAGGTTGCTTACATTAATATCTAGAGTTCTGGCCCTAATAGCCAAAAGCACATAGTCTTCTGATTAAAATGTTGGACTTCCTTCAAGTTGGATCCAAGGTTATCTAAGTGTCCCAGAATGAATTATGCTCAAATGTATTCTCAAGTATTTTTGGGTAGCCTCTCAGGATCCTTAAATATGACATATTTGAATATGAGAATATGGATAAATGAATTGATCTTTCCAAATTTTATCCGGTATCGTACACTAGTAGACAGTTTATTTGAAGAAAGGAAGGTTCATTTATTAATACATGTACAGTAGTTAGAGATGGCTTCACAAATCTGTTGAATGAAATTGACTACAGATCTTCTTTATCAACAGACAACAAGATTTTTGTAGATTTAAATAAAACTGATGGAGAGGGAATGGTTGGAGGATGAGGAACTTCAATATTGATGTATTGCATCAATTTCCTTCATCTTCAACAATTCAAACTCTTGTTTTGAGAGATAACGGTGTCACACTCTTATTTCTAGCACTCCCTTCATACTTCTCTTTAAGTGCTTCCCAGGCTTCTTGTGCATTCTCATAAGACACAATCTTAGGGAAAATATCATTTATCATTGTACTATGCATAAAAGAAGATGCTCTATATGTACCTGCCTCATACTCTGCATTTCTTTTCATTTGTGCCACTGCTGGATTGTCTTCTGGAAAAGGAAGTTGGAAACCATGCTCGATGAGTTCCCACACATCATTCCCTTTGAGGAATGCTTTCATTCTAACAGCTCAAAGTTCATAATTCTCTTCAATGAACACTTTAGGAAAAGAAAAAGAATTTGTTGAAGAAGACACTCTGGAATGCTGTTGAAGAACAATAATCTCTCCCTCACTTGTCACTCATGTTTCACTCTCTCACAGCACTCAAAAGTTTCTCACAGATCCCTCAAGAACTGTAAGCTCTGATACCAATTTGTGAAAGTAAAGATGGAATACGAGTAGAAATAAACATAAACTCAAGATTTAACTTGAATTGACATGAACATTAACCCTGATATCAAAGAACATATACTGAGTTTTCCTGATATAACTCAGCAAACATAAACATACATGTCAGTTTTTCAAAGAAAAGTAACTTATACATGACAGCCGCTAAAAACATAAAGAAGTTACCAACTGCAAAAATAAACTGCTACACCACTAAGCAAAAATAAATTGTGTAACTGCCACCACATTAGTTTAATAGACTTGATCTCATACGTTAACAGGGGAAATGGTTGGAGGACGAGGAACTTCAACAGCTCCTTCTAGCATCTGTGAGACTCTCTTCATAGTGGGCCTTAAAGATGGATCATCTTGAATGCACCAAATGGCAATCATCACAAACCTCTCTACCCTATTAATGTCCTGAATAGCCTCTTCATCCTCCTGAACTAGCAGGTACAGTCTCCCTTCTTCATAGCAATCATATGCCCAGTCAGCCAGTATCATTTGGTTTTCATCCTCTGAATCTTGCTCAAAACTCTTCCTACAACAAATGAGCTCTAGCAGCAGAATCCCGAAGCTGTAAACGTCAACCTTGATTGTGACAGGCTTGTTCTTGAACCACTCAGGGGCTACATATCCTTTTGTTCCCCTAATTGCTGTAACAGTTCGAGTTTGGCCTGTCTTCAAAAGTTTTGCTAATCCAAAGTCAGAAATTCTTGCTGTCAATGAGTCATCTAGTAGAATATTTTGAGGCTTGATGTCACAGTGTATGATCTGGTTGCTGCACTCCTCATGTAAATAAACAAGCCCTCGTGCAGTTCCAAAAGCAATTTGAGCTCTTTGATACCAATTGGGCCTTAAATTTCCAAAAAGGTAAGATGCTAAAGATCCATTACTCATGTATTCATACACCAAAAGCCGATGTTGTCCCTCATTGCAGAATCCTAGCAGCTGAACTAGATTCTTGTGATTTGTCTTGCTAATTGCACTTATTTCTGCTTGAAACTCCAGCTCGCTTTCTGTCATTATCTTGTCCAATTTTTTTATGGCGACCATATTCTTGTTACCAATGTCAATAACTCCTCTGTAAACTGTTGAACAAGCACCTTTTCCAAGTTCTTCTTTGAATTTATTTGTAGCTTCCTCAAGCTCCTTGTATGTGAAGCTTCGCAAACTTGTGCCTTGGTTAGCTCTGGAAGGTTGAAGCATCCTTCTTTTCCAATAACACAAGCGTGAAACAAGCCAAAGAGTAGCAATCAACAGAACAAGGTCCAAAAATGATGAGCCACTTAAGAGCATAGTTAGAGTAAGAATTAGAGTTGACCTGTCCTCCTTATTTGAACCAAAGGTTGAACCCTCTCTTGAACGCCCGTCAATCGAACCCTCCCTTGATCCTTTGTCAGGAGATTTGTATGTTGAATTTTCTTTCCTTATTTTGATCAATGTTTTTCCACCAAGGTTAGGATCCATTCTCCCATTAGAGAGAGGAAATTTCTTCATTGTACATTCACCATCTTTAAAGACTGCAAGAGAACAAAAACAATCAGTCAAGCAGGATTGCCTACACCAATCCTCAGTAACGTCTTTAAAATATCCATAATCTGTTCCTGGCCAATCCATGTTGAGCTTATCCCTGAATTCAAAATTATCTGCATCTTGGTTTCCATTGCAATCTTGTGAGATGAAATCCTGTTTGCACCCTCTCATCTTATCATCTGGATCAAAGAATGAGTATCCAGGTGGGCACTCGCATCTAGGCCTCTGATCATCTCCAAAACTACAGTAGCTGTTGTATCCGCAAGCACCACTACCTTGTGTTTCCTTAATGTCGCAAATATTCGAAGGTTCAGACCCCTGCATGGACCAGTTCATAGGATTTCTAGTAATACCATTTGTGGTCTTTGGATAGACATAATGCCTGAGGACCCCATCATACTCTAGGATTGCTCGCTGGTAATAGTTCGTAGATGAAGTTTCTTTTGATGTAAAAGAGTAGAGTATGCTTCCATTGTTATCTGCTAGGTAGATATAGCCAGACTGGTTGAAGACAAACTGGTAGCCTTGGTTTACAGTATTGGATGCCCAATAAGCTCTATTTATTAAATCCACTGTGTCCCATAGGAAGCTAGTGACGTAGAATACGAGATTTCCATCCCCTTGCATTAGGAAACGAAACCTTCCCCTTGAATAATTCTTCTCTGCATAACGGGCGACAAGTTTGCTGTCTCGCTTCATTATCTGTGTAGGTACTATTGTGTCAGTTGGCTGATTAAAACTCTCCCACAAGTTGGAGTCCTGGCTCACCAGAACAAAATTTCCTGTGTCGAACATGGCTGCGTATAAAACGTTACCAGAGCCAGTCAATTGTGCATCCCATAGTTTCTCACCTCTCGCGTCAGTGAGTCTGAACTGGCCATCTTCTGAAAGTTGAATTTTGGATCCTTCTTCCACCAGCTTTTCACCATCGATGGGTGGTGACCAAATAATGGTTTTTTCAGGTATGTTGTCGAACCATATGGCAAGCAAGAACTCACCAGCTCTTATTTGTTGGAATCCAAATGCGAAATCACCAGATGGAGATCTCCAGGAAGAATTCATATTGAGTGCTGCAGTTAATGAGAAGCCCAACTCTATTTTCTGATATGTTTGAGCTACAACATAAACTGGCAGCAGGAAAATTAGAATGAGATAGAGAAAATATGGAGAAGAAGAGGCCATGAATGCAGGTGCTATTTCTCGTGTGACAAATCAAGGCTCTTGCTGAAGGTAAATATATAGCAAAAGAAAAAGTAGCTAGATTGTTAAATTCAGGTCTTCCAAACTATTTTTCAAAGCTAGGACCAGGGGCGGAGGCAGAAATTTTTTCCAGGGGCGGAGGCTAGATAATTTTTCATATACTAATTTGCAAGATTTTCAAATTTCAGGGGCGGCGAGCGCCCCCCTCGCACCCCCTGCCTCCGCCACTGGCTAGGACTTTGAATGGTATTCGGCTCTATTCTTTATAGCTGACTGATAATGGACTCAGTGATCCTAGACTGTGCATTTGCGTATCCTGATTCCTGAGGGACTGAAATGGGCTCAGATTTTCACAAATTGTTTCTAGAAAATGAAAGAAAAGATTGTTAAAGTGCTGAATTTCATAGAGGGTGTGAACTGGGAGATTTTTCTCAGGCAAGGGTTGATTATGTTGATTTCTAACCATTCAACAAAATGCAGTCATTAGTACGACCAGCCCGTATAACACGCTAATTAATCCTAGAAGACTTGGAAAATGTCATATTCTGTTGACTGGGCAGCCACTCTTGATGTATAAGTGTATATCTTAACAATATCTTCTGATATGTTTGAGCTACAACAGAAACTGGCAGCAGGAAAAGTAGAAAGAGATAGAGAGAATATGGAGAAGAAAAGGCCGTGAATACAGGTGCTATTTCTTTTGTGTGATAGATCAAGGCTCTTACGGAAGGCAAATATAGAGCAAAAGAAAAAGTAGCATGTGGGAAAATTCAGGTCTTCCAAACCATTTTTCCAATCTAGGACTTTGAATGGTATTCGCCCCCATTCTTTATGGCTGACTGATAATGGACTCAGTGGTCGTAGACTTTCCATTTGCGCATCCTGTGGACTAAAGTGGGCTTAGATTTGCACAAATTGTTTTTAGAAAAGGTTAAAATCCATTTTGGTCCCTCTACTTTAATAGAAAAGTAATTTTTAGTTTCTCTATTTAAAAAAGTCCATTTGTAGTCCTTAAACTTTATTATCTATCACCTTTTTAGTCCCTCTAATTTTTTTTACATAAATATCACATTAGATAATAGAAATTTTACAGTATTGAGGCTAAAAAGAGCTTTTTTAAAGTAGAGGACCAAGAAAGAGTTTTTTAGTCTTTTTTTAGTAAATTTATTTTAGAATTTTTGTTATCTAACGTGTTATAAATATAAAAAATAACAAAGGATTATAAAGAGACTGGATAACAAACTTAAAAAACTAAAAGAGATTTTCTTTAAATAAAAAAATTAAAAAAAAAAGATTTGTTAAAATAGAGGAACCGAATGAGATTTTAACCTTTACAAAATGAAAGAATAGATTGTTAAAGTGCTGGATTTTGTACAAGGGTTGATTATGTTGATATCTAACCACTCAACAAAATCAGTCATTAGTACGACAAGCCATATAACAAGCTAATTTATTTATTATTTATTATTTATTATTTTTTTTAACATGTGGAATTTGGGGAAAATGGTAAGTTTATAAGTAATTGGTAATAATTGGTAAGACTAGAACTCTTAAGCAAAGTAGT